GGTGAGCATTCCGTTCCGAGTTGCCCCTTTCCCATAAACTAAACCCAGATGTTTCCCCAGCTGGACAGAGCTACTTGCCGCGTGTCGGAGCCGCATCGCATGAGCCCTATCCAAAGGCGACAGGAGCGCGTGGTAGACGAGATGAAGCGCTTCTCGCGCGAACAGTACAAAATGAACTTTGTGGAGCTACAGGTTCCGTCCGGTCACCAGAATCCTCTGCGCTATAAGCCGAAAATCTACGAAACTTCCATGACTCAGGAGCAGGCGCATCTGCTGCACAACATCAGCCGGGAGCAGACGCGGGAGCAGCAGCCGTGCGACATTCTGCGCCAGAATGAGATCGATTGCGGGCTAATCAGCATTCTGCTGGCCATATGCTACGATGTGCGAACGACCAACAATGAGGCGACGTGTGAATCTGGTTGGACGCGCAGCATCCTTTGTCCGCTGTACTGCTACTTTGAGCAGTTCGACAACTACCGCGACGTGTTGGTGGCCTTTCTTCGGCGAATGATAACCTACCCGATGTACCGTAACTTTGAGCTTGGCCGCCAATGTGTGCGGGATGCTATCGAAGTCTTAAAGGGCGGTCGAAACTGGCTGATCAACCAGCTGCTGCTGACACACCAGCAGTTCAGCAGCGGGGAGCCCAGTCGTGATAGTTTCAATACCTACTACTTGGAGGACTACATCCGATATGTAACCAGTCCAAGTGCCTGCAGCGACGAGCACATGCGTTTGCTGGCCCGCAACCTTAAAAACGTTCTGATGGACGTGAACAAGCAACATCTGGGCCTGGGAGTGACCGAGATTGAGACTGAGCTAATCAAGGAGCTGATGCAGGAGATGCGCATTGATGCGGGCAGCGAGGGCTCATCGCCGCACCAGCAGGGCCATGGCGAAGATGAACTGGACCTTGATAACGACACGTCCGGGCAGGAGGACGAGACTACGACTGATGATGACAGTGTCATAACCGACTCCTTCGACAGTATGGACATGGACATGCGATTGATCGAGAACGAAATTGTATATGAGGATGACGAGGAGGATGAAGAGGACGATGACGACGATGAGGACGGGGACGGGGCAGACGAGGAAGACGACGAAAGCAGTTCCTCCACCACCACTAGTAGCGAGGCGGAAGGAAACAGCGTCATCGAGCAGTGCAGCAACAGTGAGACCGCCGCCAGCATCAGTACTAGCACCAAGTAATAAGTCACTTATCCCCAATCCGGCAAGTCCTGCTCCTGCCTTGCCCAAAACAAACAAGCAACACAACCAACTTAATGTCAAAGAACGGAGGCTAAACAGTGATTACTTTTAAAATTAAAACAAAAAGTAAAATACATAAACAAAACCAAGCAAAAGGATGTACATTTACAAAAAAACCGAAAATATCTACTTAAATCTTAATTGTACAATAATTTTATGAGACGCAAACTCAAAGATTTGTTCACGCCAAATGCGAAAAGATATTTGAATATTTTTTCCCCTTTGCTCTAAAATAACTTCGATTATAATTACACATACAAGTAAATCAGAACTTTAGCATTTAGTGTGGCATTAGAGTACGAAACATTTGAATTTTGAATTCTGAAAAGCGAAATCTAGTTGTGCATTTTGTATATACATCTATAATTATATAGATATCGATATTGTTGGTGCTGCAAGCAAAGAAAACTAAACAAATTAATAAAATAAAATAGACATGTAAAGCAACCCGAAACAAAAACCTAAATTTTGGGCAAAAGTCATGATGGAGTTACCAGTTAATGTTGAATGTCATTGAAATCGAGAAAAAAATGTGAAAGAAAACTAATAAAATGGATAATACATATTTTTGTATCAAACGTGACTTAAATGTCATTTAGTTTTTTTAACTACCTATCAACCGCGACCCGTATTAAAAAGTTGCGTGACAATTTTGTTCATGAACATTATACTTTTTGAATACTATTGATTTTTGGAGTCTAAGGCTTTAAGATAAATAAATATTTTTTCTATGTGAGAACCGATACATGTTTTTATAAAAGCGGCGAACTCCATATACATATACATATACTTGTTATACCAGTAACTATTAAGAATCATTAGCAAATCCGATCTAGCCATTTCAGTCTGTAAACTGTAAAAGCTAGAAATTTGTGACTAAGCATACAGATTCTAGGGGTTCTACGCAGCGCAAGTTTGTTTCGGTGCAGTACCTGTCCACGTTAAGTCTATCCGGCGTCCACTTTTTTGAAGATTTTGTACCGGTAGTCAAATAAATAGGGAGCCTTAATTCGTGAAAAAGATTGGCAAAAAAGAGTGTTTGTCAAACGATGAATTTTGGTAGGCTGCTTCTGACCGGTTTCATACAAACACTGTTTTTAGTATTATATGTGGACTGAAGTACACGTAGTAACTTTAGGGTTATTCGAGTGCGCCGAAAACTATGCATTCCCGGTTTGTGGAAGATAATAACCATTTAGTAAAAGAGAACACAGTTTAGAATTGAAATTACAATAAATAGCTCTCCGAAAAATTGTTTGGGTATTGAAATTTAACAACAATGTGGACTTCACGTCCGGAAAGTATACACCGAAGTATGCCAAAGCCCATTTTGGATTCTCTGGCTTAAATCGCGTTTGGGTCTTTTATAGCGACTTAAAGTTAAAAGACAAATTTTATTTATATTTGCCATATCTCTTACACCGATTTCCCTTTTAAGTTAAGTAAGTATGAACAAAAGGAACTCAAATGCCAAAACACATTTTTTTAAAAGTTCATCTAGGGCGTTAGTTGGCCATATTTCGCTAATCCTTAACGTGTGGTTAGTCTTCAAATATTGGTTTAATTCATAACACAATTTACAAAGGTATTTAAATTTTCCGCCATCCTTTCTATGGATACATATATGCAACATTTGTCCTCTAATTTAAAGCATTATAAAACGACAGTCAGGGTGCCTTAGAGTTTCTGAGTTCTGGAATAAATAATTTTATTAATTAATTTCGTATCTATAACTTAATTTACAATAAACGATTATGTGAAAAAATCAGTATGAGCCATATATGCACAGAACTGGGGTTTAGTTTCGTACTTATCGGCATGACTTCTGGTCATGGTATTGAAGGATATTTATATGAAAACGAACACTAGAAAATTAATTACCTCTTTAAACACTTCTGATATCAAACAAAACAAGGAAGAACGCTATAGTCGACTACCTCGACTATCAGATACCCGTTACTCAGCTAAAGAGACCAAAGGGAAATGGAGATATGCAAGCAGCAAAGCGAGATTGAATTGCGCCACCTACCGGCGGTAGACAGATTTAAGCGTTATGGGCGTTAGAGTAGGCGTGGCAAATTATTTTTTGGGTCAATCGATAGGTATTGACGAGACCAATACATTTCAGTTGAAATTTTTTATATACCATGAAAATTGTGGGCGTCACAGGTTTTCGCGGTTTGTGGGCGTTAAAGTGGGCGTGGCAAACTTTTTGTTAGGTCAATCGATAGGTATTGATGAGAACAATACATTTCAGTTAAAATTTTTATTCTAGCATCAAAACTGTAGGAGCCACAGTTTTGGGCGGTTTGTGGGCGGTAGAGTGGGCGTGGCACTCTACTGAAACAAACTTTCGCTGCGCAGGAATCTCAGGAATCTGCGTGCCTAATCCCAGTATTGTAACTCTCATAGTTTCCGAGATCTCCGCGTTCATACGGACAGACGGACATGGCTAGATCGACTCGGCTAGTGATCCTGATCAAGAATATATATACTTTATGGGGTCGGAAACTCTTCCTTCTGCCTGTTACATACTTTCCGACGAATCTAGTATACCCTTTTACTCTACGAGTAACGGGTATAAATACCCCTTAACGAGGTAAACAACTAGTGACGAACGCACCTTCAACATACAAAAGTTTTAATACCAACTTTTGTGACGAAATTGTATTATACGATCTACTAAGTAAATACACTTTCTTAATTTGTCTTGCTCGGCATGCTTCATTAATTGTCTACACAGGTATGTTGCTTGTATTATTAAACCAAACCGAAGACATATTTCAGAAAAATGAATTAGAAACATTCTAAAATTAACTGTATCAAAATATTCCTTCACGATTCGCTGCAATCAAAAATTGAACTGCTCGTCATAAAACTTACTTATATTTTTGTCACGTGATAAAGTCTTTAATTTTCGTATATATCTGAAAAACGAGCCATGGCCCAAAGACAGCTTTAGCACAAATTATATTACTAGTTAAGAGCTTTAACTTAAGCCCTATGTAAAAGAAAAACAAATCTTGGGACATGATTTTTTCAGCTTTAGAGCGTATACATTAAATATATTATTGATCAGGTCAATGTCCGTCTATCTGTCTTTCTTTCTAGCCGCCCGAGAGCTGAGGTCTTAAACTATAAACGGTTTTATGTATGAAAACGGTTTTTGTATGGAACATCTGAAAATACCTTACCGAAATTCAATAATTCAGCAATTTTACAGTGTAGGAAATACCCTAATAGTCTCTTTAAAACTCAATAAGGTTAATTTATTAAAACTACACTTGCGGAAACCATTTCCTTTGAAATCCAATCGACAGGCTTATTAATTACATCGGTGTAGACAAGGAAATGTGACGGTTCGTTTTCGTTGTTTGACTAAAGACCTATTTCCCTAATCGTTCGCTATGGGATCCAGCTGCTGTTCGACAATGCATTAATTCAGGTTAATTGTAATATCTTCTTCAATGCATTGTCAAATCAAAAAATATAAATAAATTATCTTGAATCAAAAGTGCTGTTCCGGGTAAAGTGGACTTAGTGATTAGCTCTGCTCAGCAGTCATTGTATTCCGTGCCATTAGTATAAACCCATGGACTAGGACTTTAAAGAGTCGAAAAGGCTCCTACCCTTCTACTTTACGAGTAACGGGAATTATGATTTGTCACCCAATTTTGATGACAAAAGTCACAATTATTAAACCTAAAATTATAAAAATGACATTGTTTTATGGTTTTATTATCTTTTCTTTATTTATTCATACACACATACATATGCATATCTCTGTACGTTTTACAAGCTAATTTAAATATTTATGGACTGTTAATTAAAGAACGCATCATTGTGCCAAATATTGCTGTCGTTGCTGGTTCTGTTGATGCGCCTTTTAATTATGATAAGTGTAAAGCTAAAATTTACAAGTTAAACTAACTAAACTCGTATGCATTTCGAAATCGCTAGAAGAATCGATGCGCCCAGCGAGGCCAATTTTAGTTGTGGAGCTTTTTCAATTAGTTCTTCCATAGGGTGTTTCCTTCTGTCTCACTCTCTCTCTATTTACACAAGTCACAAATTGTTTAACAAAAGATGTGTGTTTTTAGATTACTTAACCACTACGTACAACATGGCGGCGATTCCGATTTGAACAAATTTTTTGATCTTGCGCCGGATTAAGAAAATTGTTTACTCTCCATCTGATTTAATCTGATTGATTCTGGATTTTAACTTATACTTTTTTACTGACACTGAGTTTTTCTTCCGTTTCTATTTCCTTCAATATTTACAAGAATCTGATTTAAACTAGGTATTTGAGTCAGTTACAGATCTGAAAATGTACGGATTAAATTATTTAATATTGCATCTCAATGGTATTTCGTGCTGTACTCACTCATAGTCTCCTGTTGGATCTCCACCTTGTATGAGGGATTATCGTAGGCAGCGTCGCTCTTTCGTGGTGGCGTAATGGACGCCGTTTGGTGCACCCGTCTCCTGGTGATGATCAGTAGCAGGGCCAGAGTAGACATGATCGCCAAGGCGGCGATCACTGAAACTACCACAAGAGGGCCGTAGTAATCGCCCACAGGCTGGTCCGTGCCCGCGGTCAAAAGTTTGCCTAATAAAAAAATATTAGGAATAAGTTGTCGTTACGAAATGGAAAAGGATGCTTTCAAAAAAGATATTTAATTAAAATCCAGGAAGTTCTATTAAGATCAAAATATAAGTCTTTAAATATAAGAAAAAGTTTGGAATTTTAAAATGGTTTTGTAAGAATAAATAATCTGATAATATCTGAGAATGTGAGGTAATAAAAAAATTAAAGTGTTTAAAAGTTAACAAGTTGAAAGTACAATTGAAGCATATCTGATTTAAACGGATGTTTGTTGTTTTTAAATCTCCCTCACCAAACATTTTAAATCCCTTTAGGATCCTTTCGAAAAATTGCAAGACTTGAAAAATAATTATAACTGCTTTATAAGCCCAATCTATTACAAGATCTGTCGACTTACCAGTCTTGCCCGGTGTGGCTGGACCACCTGGCTTTGTAATGAAGTTGACCACATTACTCTTCTTGGTGTTGCCGTTGGTCAGGTACATCTCTAGCCAGAGGCGGTACTTGGTGCCTGGTTTGAGATCCATGATCAGGGTACCAGTGGTGCTGTCCCGCTTGGCCACCTTGAAAACGCTAGAGTCCTCCTTGCCAGCGTCGCTCTGGTAGATGGCCCTATAAATGTGCACGAACTTGTCCTCCGGATAGGGCACTCCATTCCATGAGATCTCCACACTCTGTGTCTTGACTTTAGTTACGTTAACGGTGACATCGAAGCCATACACGTCAACCTTCTGGGCAGTTCGCACCTTAATCATGTGTCCGGCGCGCAACTCCGCTCCGTGTCCGGCTAATGGAATGTAGTAGAGTCCGATCTCGTAGCCCGTATCAGGCTGGAGATTCTGGATGGTGTAGCTAGTCAAGGTGCGATGGATCAGCGGGGAGGAGGAGTAGATCATGCCCGTCAGCTCCTTGTAGCGCAGTTGAACTCCGTCCACATATTCCATCTGGTCGTCACCCAGTTTCTTCCACGTCAACTGCAACCAGCTGGAATTCGTTTCGCTGACCGTCAGTTCGGGATCCTCAACGTTCTTGAAGATGTCCTGGAAGTCTGGCCTATAATCGGTGAACGGAGGTGGAGGCGTGATGGTTCTTTCTGGAGGCGTCTTCACGGTGTACACACTGCTTGTGGGTTGCGAGTTCAGATCGCGAAGAATCAGGGTGATCTTCACCTTGTACAGGGAGTTCGGTTCAAGACTGGGCAGATCGAACTCCATCTGGGAGGTGGCAATAAGGTCCTCGGGCGGTGCAAAGATCTGCTGCTCCCAGGTGGAGGTATCGTTGCTAGGTCCATTCGAGTAGCGCAGCTCCACGCGTCCATGGAGGTTCACATAGACCTGGGGAACGGTGAAGACGATGCGAATGGATCGGGGATCGATGGCCTCCAGGGTATGAACTTCGATGTCGGGCTGTAGGTTGCTAGCTCCTATAAAGTCAATAAAGATTTTAGGTTAATTGAATGATTATTAAGAGATAAGAAAAGAGATGAGCAATACTAGGGATCTTAAAAATGCACAATTTACATTTACATTCAAATACAAAGTGAATATTTTAAATAGTGTTGATATTTACAATACAAAAATAAGCCGAAAATAGTTTATATATTCAGCACAGTTGGAAAAAAGAATATAAATATATTAGAAAGTTAAAATTTCACATTTTTTGCCAATAATATACTTTGGTAATGTCGTTTCCTTAACTTTTTTAAAGATAATTAAGCTAAAACATGCTTTATATAGTGGTGATTCCTTAGAATTTCTCATGGCAATCACATCTTGCTCATCTCTGACTTAACTTTTTAATTTCAGTTAGTATTTGTATCCCGGATATTAATCAACGAGTTTCGTTTGGAAATCGTTTTAGTTGCGGATTAGCTGCAAGCATGTTAGTGATAGATGATCTTCCGTGCTAAATGGGTGTGTAGGTGATTGTGGCGGATGTGTGTATGCGAGTGTCTGTTGTAGGTTTTTTGTGGTTGGTGTTGTCTCAGTTAGTACAGTAGAACCCTGTCGCAGTGTTTCTGTTGTTGTTGCTGAAGAGCTGAGCAGAGTAGAGGAGATCTAGGGGGTGTGGTGACTAGAATAGAGTGTTCAACCTGACTGCTGCTGCTTGGACAGCTTGTCCTGGTTCTGGTGCAGACTGTGCTCACTGGCCTGCGTGGAAAGTCCCGAGGTGGTGCTCGAGCTGGGCAGGATTGTCTGCTGCAGGTGTTGCTGCGGGGTCGTCTGATGCTGCTGCGGATGGTGGGGCGGAACTCCCAATCCAGGGATCACCGGATAGCTTTCGTAGGCCACTGTCTGGCCATCGACAATGGCAATGCCATGTCCTGGTGGCGGTGGCGGCACTCCACTGTGCACAATTGGCACATAATGACCGGGATGTTGCTGCGGTGTCTGTTGCTGTTGTGGATGTTGCTGCTGGTGGGGCGGAGGTGGTGGTCCACCTGGAACAGTTTGCTGCAGGTGCTGCAGTATCTGTTCGATTCTCACTTGTGGCCCCAGATTGTGATTGTCTTTTTGCGTTTGTCCAGGATGAATTGGAGGTCCAGGATGACCAGGATGTCCGGGATGACCCTGTTGTCCTGGTTGATCAGCACCCAGTATGTTGAACAAATCGGACTGACTAGTGGGCACCGGGGGTGGTTTACCCTGCGGCGTACCATTGGGATTGACATCGTACGGCTCGTAGGGGTTATAGTCCTCGTAGACGGGCTTCACGGGATTGTAGAATCCAAAGGGGCCCAGATGTTGCTGATGCGGATGCTGGTGGCCGAATTGGAAGGGCACAAATCCGCCGTTCGGTGGCAAAGGTCCTTCCTGCTCCTCTGTGCGATCACCATCGAAAATGACATCATTCTGGTGTTGCTGCTGCTCCTGTTGCTGGTGTTGCTGGTGTTGCTGCTGTTGATGCTGAACCTTCTTGTGGCCCTTTTCGGGTTTCTCGGGCTTCTCGAAGATCCCCAGACCGCCAATCGACTTGGGTGGCTTGCCATCCAGGGTGGGATAGAAGGCTCCACCTGCGGATGACTTTTTATCCTCATCCTTCTTGATTTGAGGCGCTTTGCTAGGTATAGTCGTCGAAACATTTGCTGTAGCTGTCGTTGTTGTGGTTTCTGTTATCGGTTGCATGTTGGATGGTTGGTTGGTTGGTTGTTGTAGTTTGATTATTTACAAAATGCATAGCGTGAATAACAATATTGAAATTGGTTGTGATGAGCGTAGAAAATAAAAAATAAAGTAAAACGAAATTAAATAGCATGTCAGCGCGATAAAAATGGCAGTAGAGAGCTCAAATAAGATAGCTAGCAAAAGCGCAACAAATCAATTAGGTAAACTAAACCAGCTTATAATAGATAAATCAAACTGAAAATGATCTTGTAATGACAAATGGAGCGATTTGATGGAAACACTTTCTTGGTTATGGCATGCAAAGTCCAAAAAAGAAAGGATTACTCTGTCATGCATGTTTATTTACCATTTGCTGGGATTGAGGAATGGGTTGAGGTTGCTTCCTCCTCTTCATCCTGACCAGCAGCTCCAATTTTTGGGATTTGGGGGGCACAGGACCAGTGCTTGCAGCACTCGTCATCGGGAATGGGCAGCAGGCGGGCCAAGGCCGGGTGGCAGGGCAAGTCAGCTGGAGGAAGTGCGGGAACTGGAGGACAAGCTGCCCGGCACTCCACTCGTCCATTCTCGCAATAGCAATGCTGATCGCAGCCTGTATGAAAAAAATCATGATCGAGGGGATGGGAATGAAATGGAGCAAGCCACGATCTTACCTGTCAAGTTGGCGGGCACAGGCGACCAGTTCTCGATCTGGACACCTTGGTAGCTACACGTGCCATTGTCCACGCACCGCATGCTCTCGGGACAGCAGTTCGGCGGCGAGGGCTTGAAGTCCGCCGGAACCGGCTCCCAGCGGATGCAGTGCGGATCCTGGACATCCAGGCCAAAGTTCGAGGGGCACTCCAGCTTGGCGCAGTGAATTCCCTGCTCATTGCAAATGCACAACTGATCGCAGCCATCGCGGAACTGCTGACCCACTTCGTACTCGGAACCCTTAAAGTTGCAGGTGGGCTTGGCCCCTCCAGCCTCGCGAGCCTGCTCCTGGAAGCCATATGGATTGGGCTCCTCGGGATCTTCGCTGTTGTTGCTCTGCAGCGGCGTTGGCTGCTGTTCATGATCGTCCAGGGTGACATCGCACAGCTCCAGCTGGCAGCACACGTCCTTGGGATCCTTCACATACACACACTTGTCCAACCGAGTGTGGTTTCTTTCCGGGCATCGCGGCCTGCAGTCCATGACGCCTCCTTCGGCGCAGTGACAGATCTGCTCGCATCCGATCTCCAGTCGCTCCCGGAACTTGTAGACACCGCCCATATAGTGGCAATCACTGCGCGGCTTGGGCGTGGCTGCAATGTGGTGGGTGGTGGCAGGTGGGCAGGTGGCAATGAACGATGGGCGTGAGCAGCGTGGATGGGACATGTTTATGGAGGGCACAAAGAACACGGCACATGTTAGAAAGCTTGGCCAGCCAAAAAATGATGATTTGGGAATGCAATACAAGCTACGTCTACAGCAAAGCCACAAAAAGCTGCCTTTAAGATTCGAGCCAACTCACCTTCATCTTCGCTCGGGGGCAGGGTCACAGAAGCCTCTCCTGTTCTCTCAGTGGAAGGTGCAGCACCCTCAGTGGACACCACTGTGGGCTCCAGCAGCGGCTCACTGCATTCCATCACCCGGCAGCACTCGTCCTCCTCCACCACCTTCTCGAGGCAGTTGGGATTGGCCATGCTGCGCTGGCTGCCGCGGGGATAGCTCAGTCCCTTGCACCTGGGCTCGCACATCCAGTCGCCGCGGTTGCAGGTGCACCGCTCGTCGCACTCCCGCTCCATCAGTTCGCCGTGCTGCGGATTTTAGTGAGTGGTTAGAGTCTAAGTTCTTCAGTTTATAGCAATTTTCTCCTACTTAAACATGACTTTAAATATAATAGTCATTTTAAAAGTATCATTAAATAGTTCAAGCTGTGAACCTGTAAGTTATGCCTATTGCAGCACGTAAAACTAAAGTATTCGAAGAAAAATAATTAAATAATTAATAATAATTGCTTCCTAGTTGAAGTAATGGAAATATAATAATTTTAGTTTAAAAAAATATATAACAAAGAAACCAATTCAACAATTACCAAACATCAGAGATTAGGCCACGACGACTAAGCAAAGAAATTCAATAAAGGGTTAATCAAACGGCAAAAAGCTTCGTAGCCCTGCAATTCCCTTTTCCCTTTCTCAATTCTTATAAATAAAATTATAATCACTACTTTCACTATTTCGAGAGACTCCCAAATTACACCAATAGTCATTAATTTGATTACCAAGAACAACCGCAAATTCATACCGGTAATGACCGAAGATCGACCTACTGAGCCACTTTAATTTTTTGTCAAAACACATTTCCTCCATTTCGCTGTGTGAAAGCTTTTGCGCAGAAATTACGTCAATTTGCACAGCTAACTAAACAAGTGAGTGTAGTAGGCTCATCAATCATCTGCCTTGTTGACTGAAGGCAATCATGGGCTGAGATTTCCTGCTCTGTGCGCGGTGCTCCAATAACCAAATATGTCATATTTCGATGGAGCCCACGCAAGTTCGTGGCCAGAGTCTTTTGTTCGAGTGGAAAAAACCTTTAGTCTGCACTTTGTTCATTTAATTAGCCAATGGCTAAAGGTTTAGTGGAGTTTTTCGACGCGATTATGAGGTTCTCAGGTGTAAGAATTCACGCCCTTTTGTTATGGTCAGCAGTATTTTAATGACCCTCTGTTCTGCTGCCCTCCCCTCTTTCTTTAATGACACCTAATGAGCACAATTCTTGCGAACTTTTGAGCCTTGGCGTCCATAAAAAACAGTAAGACCAAACGCCCCAAAACGCTCACTTTGGCACAATAAACTACTGAAAAGGAAAACCGAAAAAACACTTGGTAAACTGTGCAATTTATTTGAATATTTTCCTAGCTATTTGGCTGCTCATTCGAGAAACATTTGCGGCATGCGGCTTGGCATGTTGCACGTGTCCGCCAATCGATGGCGATTTATAAAAAAAAAACTTAGGAGAAGGGAGGGGCCGATTGAAGGGGGAGGGCCGATCAGCCGCCGACAACAATTCATTAAAAGTGAAAGCAAAAATTATTTCATATCGAAGCGGACCGCAAGCTCGATTATGAAAACTACAGCACAAACAATTTAAAAGATTAAGAAAAAACGATATAAATAAAAGATGAGGAGGGGAAAGTGAAGAAGTGTAAATGCTCTTATGAAATATTCCAATAAGAAGATATATAATGACATATAATATTAACAAAACAAATCTAACCAAATTAAAAGGAAAAGTTTAAAAAAGTAAATACATTTTTTAAAATTCGTATAGGTCATAAACTGGTATTCAATGCTTTGAAATAAATGGTATCCTCAACTTTTAGTTAGTGTATTGAGAAAAGAAAAGCCCAACGTTCGTTTAATTAAAACAAAATCAACACCAAGATTCAGGCATCGCAGCAGAAAATGGGTTGGTCAGTAAGTAGTGCCAGCTGCAGGCGTTGCTCCAGCCACATCTAGCTATCTGAAAATATATATAAACAGCCGATGCAGGCCGAGATATGGAGCTAACATGACTGGACGCCATTATTCGAGGCGCAGAGGCCGAGTGCAACGTTTGATGAACACGTCACACTTGGACAGACGCATTAAGGCGTGTAGCAAACTATTGAAATTAAAATTGTACGATGATTGTTAATTAGCTGAAAGATAAGGTGACACCGTTTTCCCTGTTCAGGCGAATCATTCTAATTTATAGGTCTATTTTTGACTGATGACTTATCTAAAATGCCGGCAATTGTCACATTGTTATGATGATTGCTGGCAATGGGGAATGGCGATTGGCGCCGAGATTGGGTTGGGCTGATCCGCAACCACAGAGGCGATGTCAACATCAATCACAGCCCAGCAATTTCTTGGAATTTCTTCCTTAGCCTGCCTTTTTCGTGCATTTTTTCTGTTAATATTAAGGTGCGCAAATATTTGCATAATTGCTGCTTGGGCGAGCAGCAGCCGGGAAAAGCTAACCGAAAAATATTTTTGCCGCTTTTTTTGGAGTGCAGAGGCAGCTGCGCTGAATATTGGATGCTGGAAGTCTGGGCTGACTCTGACCGGTTTCATTATGAGCACCAAACTCGTTGCCATTATGCAATCCAGGTGACGACAAGGCGAATTGGAGTTGCGTGCCAGGAAGTGGGCAGGCCGACAGGGAAATGGAGGCGTTGGCCGCCGCTTTCTCTCCTTGTCAGGATCTGACACATATTCTATTTTGATTTTATCATGGCTGTCATAAAGCCTGGCATTTCGGTCGAACTGGATTTGAACAAATGGTTTTATTGTGTCCATCAATAAAATCTAATCGGAAACAATAACCAGCTCTATTGACGTCATTCGGTTGCAAATGTCAAAAGTTGAAAGTATTCGAGCAACTGAGTGGGAATGAACTTCCTCATTGATTGGTTGGTTAGCTTACTTTAATGGTTGTTATTTTTATAATAGATTCGTGATATGTAAAGTTAGAAAAATTATTTTGTGATATTTTATTTTTGTATATGTTCCTAATTCTTTCAAATAGTGTTACTATTATAACTGAGTCAGTATTATTAAAATATTATAATATTTTATAATATTTAACTATAGGTTAGCTTTACTACTAGTTAATCGAATTCGTTTGTAAAACGAAAGTGACTTTAAAATTTAGGAAACTGTGCTGTGGTATTTATACCATTTTTATTTTTAGTTTAAAGAGATTTTTGTGTTTTTGAAACAATTCTTAAGGGGTTTTGTTTAAGGGGACTGCTGGAAGTTTGTGGTCTTACGACCTCCACATATATCTTTTGTTCTGAATTTAGTTTAATACTAACCTTATAGCTCTTGTTGTCGGCCAAGCATTCGCGGTGCATGGTATCTCCGCTGGCGGTGATTTCCACGATTTTCGGCATTTCCGTTTCCGGCTGGGCAGTGGTCGTGGTGGATGTGGTGCTAGTTGTGGTTGTGCTAGTGGTGGTGCTGCTGCTGCTCTCGTTCTGGTCCCCATCCATGCTGACATCGCTGAGGTCCATGATCTGGTCGTGGGTACTGGCATTGTGGTGCAGGAACAGCTCCACATCATCGCCGCCACCCGCCGAACGTCCCTCGCCGGCGAAGGCCACGAATGGCGATGGCTCGGTGGTGGTGGTCGAGGCTTCGGTGGTGGAGCTGCTCTCCAACTCCTTGACCACCAGCTCCTCCTCCTTCTCCGCCTCCTCCCGCTCCTGCTGCAGCATGTGTTGTCCTTCAACAATGTTAATCACTGGCCCCGACGCGCTGTCCGGCATTATTGTGGTGGCCGCTTCATTTTCTGGCTCATTCATATGCATGGCGCGTGCTCGCGATGTGGACGAAGTTGCTGCTGTTGTTGTGGATGTGGATGTGGATGTGGATGTTGACTCGGTTGCAGTTGATGGCTCAGCGGTTGCCTTGTTCTCCTGGCTGACAACAATACCAGCCACAATTCCCGACTCTGTGGTGGTGGTGGTGCTGGTGCTGGTGGAAGTTGCTGGGGACGACTCCTCGGTGCTGGTCGAGAGCATTTGATAATCTTCGTGTTCGGCCAGGCGATCATGATTCTCGGACAGTATATGCACATGATAGGGATCTTCTTCGCGCTCGCTCTGGACGGTGGCCTCTGTCGAACTGTTGGATGTTGCTGGCGTACCTGTTGCTGGTGTACCTGTTGCTGTTGCCGCAGTGGTGGTTGTTGTTGTGGCTGCTGCTGCCGTCGTTGTCTCAACTTGTTTGTCACTTTCGATTTCGACGTTCTCCTCGCTGTTGCTGTTGCTGGCCGTTATGAGTGTGGCCGGATGTCGGAAATTGTTGAGATCCTTGACCACGTCGTCCTGCTCGTTGGAGATCTGATTCAGCTCGTTCTGCTGCTGATCCTGTTCGTGTTGCTGTTGCTCCCGCAGCATCTCGGTGGTGGCATCGCCGCTGCTCTCCGCGTGCTCATCCCGCAGGGGAATGTGCTGAATGTGGCTCAGATCTGGTTCCGTGTTGGAAAAGACCGGATGCTGGTCGGGTCCCTCGACCTCCTGGCGAGACGTTGTCGTGGGCTCCGTGGAGGTGATGGGCTCAATGCTCGTCGATCGCATGCTGGTCTCCCCTGGCAGGCTGCTCGGCACCGGTAAAATTGTGGTGAACTCTGAAAAATAAAGAACAATTTTTATTAGACTTTCTTCATAGTAAATATATTTTTATAGCAAAATAATTTAATTTAAAATCTTCTATTATCTAAGCCCTATGCCACCTTGCTTTCTGTCTCTTGCCACAAATCGCTATTATAATTTAGTTTAAATCGATCATAAACATGCCTGGGCAAATACTTGTATTGCCATGTCAAAAGGTCAAGATATGTAACCGTAGTTAACGCTTTTATTACTAATTTATCTCATTTTAAATTTTCCAGTGAAAAGCGGGACATACTACCTCCTTCAGCTGAATATTAAAAAAAGTTCAGGTACCTATATTAAACAGACGATTTGTTATGTTTATGACTCTATTAATAATCATCATCAATAGATTTTAGTGCCTCATCGGTCCTTAAACTCCATTATATTTATGCGATTTTTACAACTCCTTTCAACGCTCATTAAATACTACGAGATATAAAAGTTTATAACTTTGTTATGCTAATGTAATTTCTACGGTGCTTATAAATAAATATTGTAATGGAAACTAGGCCAGCAAGACAATGTGATTAAGCTGGACTTCTGGTCAATGTGATATCATTATTATTGCTTAGTATATAGTAAACAAATTGGATGGACACAGTATTATATCCAGGTTTCGTTCTAAATTGTCCCCTAGAATTGAGTCATCGCCGGGGTAAACAAACTCTAAGGCTTTGTCCCACATTTACGGTAACTGGCGAACAGAATTCTTTTGCAATTCTAGCGGAAACCACTTAAATCGTATTGGAAATATCTCACGCGTCTCATCATCATCATCGCCATCCGCAATTCGCATTGGCAACGCCATCATTGAAACGTAATTTCTGTTTTCGGCTCGGTTTTTTGCCGCAGCATCAATTCCTCAAAATCTGCAAGGTATTCATTAAGCTCCGTCTGCGTCTTCTGCCTGCTGAATCATCGTCCACAGGTCGGTCCATTCTTGGAAGACCCGGGCGGACAAGCCCCGACCAAAATATCAGCCATTCCACATCTTTTATGATATAATTCTTGTTTCTCTTCGGTTTTCCTGCTTCTTTTTTGTTGAGTTGGTTGGCTTATAAAGCTCTTTTGTGGGCTCGGACAACCCAGACCCGGCAACTTGTTGTTCTTTGTGATTTTCTTTTCTCTCTGCTGGCCGACCTCTCTTATATAATTACATTTGTTTTCGGGCATAGTTTCGGGGCGCAAAACTCATGTCATAAATAAATGACGACCTTAGTAAGGGGTCTTTAAGTTTTGTATTATAAAACAGACACAAAACACTTGACTCGCCCATGGATGCCCAAGAGACTCAAGATTGTTTCTGCCCAACACGCAGACTATTCACAGGAACATTCAATTACGAGTTAATTCATTAAGGGGAACTTGAACTTGATTGCTAATTGCTGCACATGAATGGGAAATGGTTTTAAAGAAGCTAAATTGATGGGAAACTATTTTCCTCAAGAGCCCATCTTTCAATTTTAAGTTCAGATTTCTCGAGTTAGTCAATCAATATTCTTTTGGCTGGGACATAATTATGTTTGATTACCGTGGCTGTCAAAGAATTCCACAAATTTCCATTTGAATTCTGTCTCATTCCGGTAATAACTTTAAAATGGTTTAGCTGCAATTTTCAACGGACTCGGGCACTCGATCATCCAGTTGGAATGGTAAATAACCATCGCACACACATCACTGACTCATGGAAGAGTTTTGGGGTGGGGGACGGGAATGGAGTAGAATGCGACCCCATGGGGACGGCATTTACCCAGTCAAGTCTTCCGCCTAGACAGGCCTACCGGGAGTGTGGGTGGAGGGGGAGTGCGACTGTCATGCATGCGTGGTAATAGGCATTAAAGCGGTCCCGGATCCCGGGTCCCTAAACCCTAGACTCCAGACCCTAGTCCCTTGTTCCTGATACCTGGTGCAGACGCAACAGTTGTCGTCGCTCCAATAAGAAAAAAGAGAACTTAAATGAAATTTTCTTTGGTACTCGACGCTTCCAGGCAGTCAGTCAGTCAGCCAGGCAGTCAAAGACAGTCTTGCAGTCAGAGTCGGCATGCAACGAACGCCAATTTAGCGCTAAGAACCTCTCTAAAAAGTAAAACTTCGAAATGAAAATACCCTTTTATAAATATGTATGTATATCATCTAGAAACGTATTATTTCTATACCAAAAACTAAATCAAATTTCTTTGGTGGAGTTCTGAAAAATCAAACCATGAGAGCTAGAGAGTTAGGAATTGTAAGCAATATAAATTTTAAATATTATTTGTGATTATAAAAAGCAAAAAAAGAACCCAGAAGTCTTTTTAAAGTGACGTTAATAATGGCTCGTTACACTTCATCAATCAAATTCCTTATAAATTCAGAAACCCCTATGTGCAATCAAATAATTGTATACATATATAACTCTGTAAGTAGGAATCTAATTATATTTCAAACATACACCATTACTAGAAAGTTCTTACAACAATTTAAAAATCAATTAATCTAGAACATTGTTTTCTTTTACAATGGTGCGGGTTTCCAATTTATTAAAGGGTATAACTTCTAGCAGAGCTCAGTTTAGTTCGTTAGCCGACAGAGTGAATGGGTGAAAGAGGCCCTAGCCGATTTCTATATAGAGAGAACATCTTTATGTGTGTGTTTTATGTTTTAGCTGTTGCTTTTATTGTTGTGTCGGGACTGGAGCTTAGGGTTACTGACATGAACCTTGAATTTCAGTTCGTTATGCTGCTGCTGGCAGCCTCCAGCTCCATCTCGAGCTCCGGTTAGGGTTGCCATTGCAGTTGTGGAGCTCGGCTCTTGGTTCTTCGGTCTTGGTTCTTCGACGGGCTGTTTGCTGTCACGGTTAGTCGTTTATAATACGCGAACTGTTCGAGGGCCTTTGCGGTGCTCCCACTCCTTTTGTTTTGCCTGTTTTTACTTGGCGCACAATTTGTCTTTTACTGTCATTGATTTTCATTTTTCACCAGCACTCGTTAAGCGAAACCAGGCATCTTCAATTTATGTATGAACAAATATATGTATAAATATATAACCAACTGGTACATGCTGCAATGATAGGACTTGTTTGGTGGTCTGCCTTTCCGTTATGCATGTTTTTCTCTGTGTTTTTATCCCCATTTTCTTCGACTGCAAACGAAAGACTCAGACAACGAACTCGAGTTTCTGTATCTGCATTGGTACCCTCGTCTCGAATTGTTCTGGGCTTTCGGTTTAGCATAGTTTATGACTCAACGCTAAGCCGGTCAGCCAGCTTGATTATGATATATATGCATGCGACAACGAATGCTAACCACCATCAGCACCGCAAACAATCACCCGAGGACAGGCCACTTATGCAGAAATGCAAAACTGCTGTCCGGTAGTTCAAACTCATTTGCGGTTTTTCTAAGTCGCCGCACGTTCTGCGGCTCTGGCAAACAAACAAATGAACAGACAGTTGGTCAGGGGAGTGGGAGATCGCTTTTGGGGGCAGGGGTTGTGGAACGGGGCAAAGGGGAGTCCATAAGTGATGTGCTTAGAATTGACAAGCTGCCATGAAGCGTTGCATGCCAACCGGATGTCTTTGTAAGGTGGGATAGTGGTTCTTCTTCGGGGCATGGTTACCATTGATCTAGAGTTGATAATGGCTGGTGGGTTAAATGAGATGGGAAAAGGGTTTCATGGTCAATTCATTTCGTTCATGTGGTTATTTTTGAAATTTCTATCATGCCGTTTTTTGAAAAAGCTTATTTAATGGGAGATCCCGTAACTAAAGAAAAAGTATTGGTAATAATGGTTCCACTTTCATACACCACAATAAATAATATTAATATGATTCGAGTGCTAGTCTCGCTTTCAAACTTCCTAAGGAAAGAAAATAAATTTGAAATATTTTATGTTTCCTGAAATCGATTAAAAATAATAATTATGTGGAACCGGCCTGTGTTTATATTAAAGCTTTGTACTAGAAGGTCATATAGAAGAAACAATATTTTTATAAAAATTATTTATATAAATTCGATAAATAATCAGTTTAAAATTTAACAGCTCAAGTTAAAAGTTCTATTATCCGTTGATTTTTCCCTGGTTTTTCCCATCTATATTACTTATTTTCCAATTTCCGCATCTATAATTTCTTTTCGTGGTGTACCGAAAGCACTGAACGTGGCCAACCGGAAGCAGTGCTTCAAAGTGAACCCTGCCTAATGACCATGCCCACGCCTCTGATTCCCTCTAACCTGTCACCATTCCTCCCCCTTTATCACACTATTGGCCGAGTTTTGTAATGCGCAAAAAGTGTCAACAAAAATAAAAGCGGCAATAGCCATCGGAAGGCAGGAGAGAGGAACGGGAAGGGAAGGGAAAGGCTATACCTTTTTTGGCTTTGGGCAATGTAACGGTCATGCCTCAGAGTGTGTCATGAATCCCAAATATATATTTACTCGTATATAACCCTGTTATGCAGCTGTTGGCAGTGGTCCGGTTTTAGTTTCAAATTATAAACAAATTCGAATTGATTACGCAATCTGCTGACTGCATTTGAATTCATTCGCTTCTTTTTGGGTGTTAATTTTGATTATATTTTGCTTTTAATTAAGGTCCCCTCCGAAGGTTTACCTATTGTATTTGTTTTAGAAATTTGCTGATGTTAATGAAATTGCACGGCCTTTGTCCAGAAAGATGATAATCCATAAAAGACGAGTATGGTAATTTGTGAAACGAAGTGTTAACTTTCAATGGCGCGCATGTTGAATTGAAATTATACATGGATATAGAAACAATTCTCTGACGGAAAGACTTCAAAGTGATAATTTTGGGAATGATTTGTTTCCGGAGTGTGGTAGACTCTTCATGTTCCATTATGATGGTAAAGGAAAAAAGATCAAAGTACCCACACAGAATTATCATAAACTCATCTCAATTGCAGTTAACTGAGCTTGCTACTAACCCAAATAGTTCCCGCCATTTTATCGGCCTTTCTATCTGGCTAATGACATAAAAATGGGCTTAGACCAGAGAGAGAGAAACCAAAAAAAGAACAGGAATACACAATCAAATGGTCGGCGGCCAGTCAGGTATGTAAGAGCATCTGCGATAGGGTAAAATTCCTCAACAACATAAAAACAACAGTCACAACAATATCATTAACAAGCAAACGGGGAAGACGAGTCAAACTGTTCGGCAATAAAGCAAAATTATTTCCCAACCAGTGTTTGACCTTTTTCCACTCGAAAGTTCATGTGCATCTAACAACAACGAAAATGCAGTTTGACCCGCTGAAAAAGGGGGAGGAATGTGGCGGTGGAGGAGGTACTTGTGCCCGATGCTAAAGCAAAACAAGTTTCAAATACTACCAAGAGCGCGTGTCATTGTCCATTTAGAGTTCGAGCTGAAGGAGCCGAGACAAAGACCCCTGGCAGAAATAAGTATAAACAACAATATGACTAAACACAACGCCACTTAGCTGGTGTAGTTGCAGCTCTAGTTGTATCTGTATCTGATCTCAACGGAATGACACCACACACTTTTAGCCAAGTGAATGCGAGTTGCCTGGCCGGCCATGAAATCGAATTGGAAGTGGAGTTTGGATTGGAATTGAACCACATGAGTGTGTGGATTTTGTACTGCTGACTAGCTCATTGTAACTAGTGCCAAAGTGCGTTGGGTATTGAAGGTCAATCGAATGGCTCAGAGTGGATCACAGAGGGTTAGAGTATAGATATTATGTATGTTGCAATTAAGGAATTAGTAATCAAAGCCATCAATTTACTTACTTACAATATTTGTAAGAATTTAATTAAAATAAAATTAAATGTTGTCATACCTTTAAATATTTAACAAAATATAACATTAATTAGGTAACTATAGAATTTGTAAACATAACAGTGAACTGTATTCTGTCTATTATTTCTGTACAAAATATGTGATTGGTTATAGACGAAGAATATATTCTTTACTTTTATTTTTAATCGTATCTATTATCACACTTACACTTTTGGATATTAAAATAAAATTAAATCCACAATGTTAATTGATTAATTGGTTGAAAAATTAACTTGACTGCTAAGTGTCTTATTTAACTTTGAAAAATTAGTATTCACATTTGCAAATTACTCGATAATCGAAAACCATTAAGTATTTTTAGAATTGTTTTTATCTGCAAACAAAACTAAATACATAGTATGCAATACTTCCGCATATAAATGTTGCCTGTAATTGGACAACAGCTAGAACCCCTTGCCAATCTTTTAGCTCAAATAACAGTAGATATTATTCATAACATGTAATTAAATTTATTTCCATTCTTCTATTTGAGGCTCCCGCTCTAAGCTCGGGCTTCCTGTCCACGTTCTCCCGCTCGGCACCGTTCAATGACACAGATAATTGCCCCAGCACACTCAACACACTCGCTTAGCCACTAAGTATTCGCAATTAAAATGCATTAATTAGCCGCACACTGCCTTTCTGTGCTACATTTTTCTCACTGCTTACAAACATAGGTACATTCATGTATGTGAGAAAAAGATATATGAAAATTATCTAATTGAAAAAATGCAAGCCAGCCAACGCATGTCTAGACCAGGGAGGGAATTGCATGATATTGTAAGTGGAATTGATGCCATTGCTTAATGCATATTTTCAAACAAGTTACAATTGAACTGAATTTTTGCCGTATTTTGATAAGCGCCCCTGACATAAATACGATTGAGTTCAGACTGAGGCCAGGCCGGGTTTTCACTTGCCTAACCCGTTTGGTTCTGTCCGCTCGGAGGCTGTGAAGTGTTCGGTTGGCGGAGAAAGCCCGCGAATCCATCGTGGAAAACCCACTCGAAGTTCAAAGCACAAAAGTGATTTTTCGACACTTGAGTTCGAAACATCTATAAAGCTATATTTACGGCCAAAATGTTAATTGTCTCTGTCTGCACTTTCGCGCTTCCCTCGCGCAAAACCCGCTGGATGCTGCGTTGAGTGTCTGGGTACAAAGCCATAATAATGGCACAACAAAAAGCCCACCGGCTAACGGCCAACAATTAACAATCGCCTAGTGTGGATGTTGTTGTACTTGTCACTCCGCACATAACACTTAACGTATTTTTCGAACTAGCCGGTTGAAAAGCCTTTTTTAAGCTACTTTTACTTATCGGTTCATTATAGCGGTCGCATGAAATTCGCCAGCTAATCGAGCATGAACCCCAAAGCGAAAGGTACGGCAGTTCAAGACAGAAATCACGCACCGAATTGCCACACCCTCCACAGAAATATTTCTCACACTCACGCTCAAATGGGTATCCTTGAAAAATTCGAGAAAACAAAAGTCTTGTCTGCCTGCCTTTTTCTGCAGAAATTCTCAGTTACGCGGGCGAATAAATAAGAAACAGAAAAACAACAGCCATATAAATAAACAAGGTAGGGGAAGAGAAGAAGAAGATCACATGGGCGCAGCATACGAAAGACTTAAGCCACAAACTTGAGATTGTACCCTGCCTTGAGTGTTTTCCATTCAGAAAAACTTAATGTTTTCGCATAAATGTTAACTTGTCATCCGAAAGCCCAGCATCTTCGCATAGCTCAAATGATGCGGATTGTTTTCAATACCAAAACTCACGACTATCGTGCCAGAAACATGTAAATTTCACTTTGCTATGATTTGTAAAAATAATAAACAATCAACAAGTCCACATAATAACAGGTCACTCTGCACTTTTCATTTTTACTCATTGTGTTTTTTATTTGCCGAACATTTTCCCTTGAAGAAAGTGGGCCGAAGACAAGTTGGCCTGTTGATTGAGGTCGTTACCTCAGACTTTATGTACATTATTGAATTTTATAAATTTCGTGATACGTATTATTGTTCAAGAGACCTCGTGTATACCTAAAAATATTTATTTATTTTTGGCAAGCCATTTTGAGTGCAGTCCCTGACTTGCAATGCCAACGCATTGAAAATTGCTCAATAGGACCGTGTCTGCATTTTTTGTAAATCCACCATATCAAGGCCATAATTTAGCACTCAAATGGGACCGCAAAACGGAAAATTAACATAAATGATTTATGTACTCGACTTTCAAGTACAACTACAGCCAGCTGTGGTGTGCAATTTTCCAACTCATTAGTGTTACTTTGTTGAATTTTTTCCTCGGCCTGTAAACAATTTGCTGGCCCCTGAATGTTTCTTTTGGCTTGGGGTTTTCCACAAAACAAGTTGAATGGCGAGCTGTAAAAAAGGTCGATAATAGCGGGAGATTCCGAAAGCACCGGGCCTTACATGATATGGAACTATATTGAAAACATTTATGAAATTAAATTGCCTTCTTTTATTTTTTGCCACTCATTAAAAGTATCTGTTGGCTAGTGTTATTTCTATATTTGTAGATCCATTGACAGTTTATAGTTACTTTGAGTAGTTGTTTCAGTTGCTGCAACTATAACACAAACCAGTTAATCAACTGTCTAAAGTCTTGCCCAATAATTGATTTGTAAATATATGTATTTGCTTTAATTATATAATCTAAATTTCCAATTCGCTAGCAACCCACTCAACGCCTAATAAATTAAGAGTTTGCATCACTTGGAATGCCCATTTTCAAATCTAATCAGGTGCGGTGTCTTCTCCAAGTTTGTAGGTATTTCATTTATCAAATCTGTCAATGACTAATTGCTATCTATATTTTCTAGCCAAATTGCCAGGTACATATTTATATAATTAGCCCCCGCCAAAAGACATTCCATGTTGGTGTACTAATGCCGACACCCAAAATTACCCGAAGCCAACCCATAGTTGCTTTTGGTACGTAGGTTAAGGGCATGAGTCATGACAGTCGGCTGATTTGCATTTAAATTGAGTAATTTGTGAAGGCTTACCTTACCATCAGCCCAAAGATTGTTGTTAAATCTCATTAACTTCCCCGTGGCATTTAGAGCAACCAGGAAAAGGCCAGTCCCCTTTATTCAAACACGTTCCCATTCTCCGCGGCAACAACCTAAGCTGAATCGATCTGTGGGGCCTTATTTTATCTAGTCATCAATAAAACAAGATGAAAAAGTATCAAAACAATGAAAAACCAATTGATGGTTTTAGGAGCGTGCTTGCAACGAGAAGAATTTTATGTGTAACTGACATTAAACCTAAATCAACATTCATGCTAATTACAAAACTGTTACAGCCAAGAACTCGGCAATTAAACTGGCAACCTAATTTTCCCAAACTTGATTGGCTTTGACAAAACGCCGAACAATGGAGCCTTTCACTTTTGCACTAAAGAAGTTTATTGAAAAAATACGTGTATGAAAGTTCATCATTCTGTCTAAGATGAACTCAAACATGTTGGAAAGTTCTGGTAAAAAAATGACTTCTCATTATTATCATACCAACATATCTTAACTGAGATAACATAAAATATTAAATCCCTATATCAATTCCTAAACCCTTTATTCTATATATAGATACCAAATTCCCCCTGGCTACAAACACATTAAAATGCACTTTGCTTAATTTAAATGTCTTGAGAGTATTGTTTCACGAGAAGCTGCTTATAAGATTTAGCTTCTGGCTCCATAATTTTCATATTTTCACTTTGATACGCCGCACAATTAACTAAGTAATTCAACAGGAAAGCGCTCATATCTCCAAAATTCTTCCACCCATTAGTAGACCAAAATTTCTCTTGTTCGCTCCATTTAACCGAATCGAAAAATAATTATGGAGAAATGGCTTACAGATCGAAACGAAATGGATGAAAAGGGCGGACCAGAAGTCACGCACCGGCGCGGCGTTAATTGGTGGCTCAGAGAACCAGATTTGATTACGGCCCAGAAGGTGAGATTAAAGTGTCTGGCCGGAGATCGGGATGAGATGGCTCATCTAGTCGAGCGTCGTCGCGTTTAAGCGGCATCTATAATTTTCATGGCTTTTGGCTGGGACTTGGGCTTTTGAGACTCACCAGTTTCGTCTGCATTCGATTTGTTGGCCGCCTCAGTGGTTGTCGTCGTGGAAGTGGAAGTCGTTGAACCATCCGCCGCCTCGGCGGTTATGCTGCTGATGTTGCTGCTTTGTTCTACGCCAATTGTGGATGTGGATGGAGTAGATGGAGTGGCTGGCGTTGCTGGCGTTGTGGTGGCTGCTGCACCGTCTGGGGCATCTGTTGTGGCATCCAAAGGTGGCATCGTTGTGGCCGCTGCATCCTCGCCTGCAGGCGCAGACGCCGCTTGCTCAATTTGAATGCCGAGCAGCAGTAATCCGCAGAGAGTGGCCAGGCACATTCTACTCCACATGATTGTGGCCGAGTCGCCTAAGGCTTTTCTTCTTCTACACGTTTGCATTTTGGTTAATTTTTCTCCCCTTTTTTTGGCTTTTTCCTCTTCGATTTTTCTCACTCGTTTGCACTTGTTATTGTTAATTTATAATAATCTTCTATAAATATGGAATTAAATAAATTACATGTACTTTTCAATCTTTGAAAGGTCTCGATAACTCATTACCGACTTTTGTTCACTAGTTATTATTTAGTTTTCTCTTTTTGAGTTTTGGGATTTTCTTTTGCGGTTAGTTAAGTTCACACGACATTTGTGGCAGCGGTTTCTTTTATTTGTCATTGGTTCGGTTTGGTAACCCCAAATGCTGTCATTTCCGCTGAAAGTTGGTTAAATAACGATCTCTCAAGTGTCAAGTGTCTATATTTTGCCCGCCGATTTGTTGAGTGATTTGTTAGATCACTCTGTGATTTACTGGGAAACTTTCTTATATGTATTGGCTTTGAAATATGGGAAGTTTATCAGCTTTAGTATTTACGTGTGTCTCAATCAATCATTTTTGAGGGGCTTACTAACTTTTGAGTGACTTTAAGCTTGTAAATATTCCTAAATTTGTTAAATATATTCATTGCTGCTCTGAATAATAAAGTATTTCTTACGTCATACATTTAAATTGTTACCATTTTTACCGTGAAAGTATAGACCCCTTCAATGCCAACACTCAAACAAGTTCGTTTCCCAAGTCTTTTGTTTCACTAAATTTCTGTTCATTTTGATATGCGTAAACTTTTAGGAACCTGTGTAGATTTACGATATGAAAATCCTATTTAGCATATTTAATTTTGATGTACAACTTTACGCATAGCCTCAGAGCGCCTCATAAATATCTTTCATTTTTGGGCTGATCTAGCACAATGTTTACTTCTCACCATTCAAACAAGAAACTAGGCAAACAAACCAGCATGCCAAAAACAATGCCAACAAATTGGGCTCTAGGAAAAAGATATACTATGTATATGCAAGGCAGTCGATGCTCATGCAATTCGCCATAATGCAACGACAGCAACAAAAACCTTAGACCCAAATTGCGATAGCGAAAATATTTGAACCGGTTCCTACGGCAGCAGCAGAAACTGCAACTGAAAACGGCTGCAAACCGCAGAATGCGCTCCAAAGCCTTTTTGGCCAAGTTGGCTCGAAGGCAATTAGACAGCAGGCGGCTATATTTATTCTATATCTGTTGGCAAACACTGATATTTGTTTTAGTTAACAACCAATGATGTCATTGTAAAAGTTGGTGGCTATTTGCACTGACATTTCACATTTCACTCTCACTCCTTTTATGTAGAAATGGCAAATGGCAGAAAGCAAACAACGAATAAAGCGTTTCGGTGGAGGCAGAAAACTTGTTTTCGGTATTTTCAATGGAATGTTTTCGCTCGTGGTTCTCTTTGCTTTCTGTCGGCCTCTATATTGTATATTTCACTTCCAGATCTTGTGTTTGTTCAATAAGAAAGCAAAGATTTGCATAAATCACACACACACACACACAGGGGCGCACTAAAAGCGAAGATTAGCACCAACCCGGCGAGAAAAGGTAGTATCTTCTCTTATCTGGCCACGTTTGTGGGCAGGCTGCGCGGGGTATATCTCGGAAAAAACGCGATCGCATACGGATCGCAACCGCTCCGTCTCAAGCACGACCACCAACTGATCTCTCCGGCGGCACCATGGCATGGATCTTGGCTGGAAGCGCTGCCAACTCACCACGGTCTGCAGGCGGCCAAGAGGTAACTGGTTTCCGCTCCGCTCCTCTCAGTTGGCCAACTGTGTTGACTTTGGCTTTGCTCTTTCTCCCCCGTCAGCTGGGCTCAACAGGTGAGAGAGCCAGAGACGTAATACATAATACCCATTACCCTGGTTGAACGCTCGCTCTCACCCACACTCAGGTGTGCCTAGGCTGTCTCTGTTTCTGCGTCTGTATCTGTAGCTGTTTCTGGACGTGTGGGTGTTCGTAAGGCCCTCTCTAGAAGTCGACGGATCCGAAACAAGACGACCATGATGCATACACAAGACTGGGTTTTTTCTTTTTGGCAAGGCAACTGCAATAGTCAATTCCTTGACAAGTGAACTCAGCGAACTATTTGAACTGTCCAATTGGCTGGCGAAAAACTCAATCCCATTGAAAAACCCAAGACAAGCCGAGTTGGCATTCATTGTTCCGATTACGCCTTCGGTCTGGGTTTCTTTCTTCTTCTACTTCTTTGTCCGACTTGCTGAAAGAGCTCAAAAGTAGAATCGGATTAATGGCCATGCATCTCCATAGATGCTGAGCGCTTATGAGTCAGGGATGCTTGGGGTCACAGAGGTATCAAGACATTATCCCTCTTACCCTATAACCGTTACTTTGATTGAATTATAAATGAAAATGTCTACGGTTTCGAAAGAGATATATATTTTCACTCAATTAAGGGGGTACATTGGAACTGAAGAAACATATTTATAAATACAACAACCCGGTGTACTACATTAAGGTAAGAAAAAAATATTAAATTTTTAAAATAACTTAAAATATTAAAAGTGCAAATGATAAAAAAGGAGACTAAAAAGGGATTATATAGACCATATATTTCATATTTCGCATATTTTTTGAATATAAATAGAAGTTATTAAAATATATATTGACAAACTAAATATAACAACATTAAAAACTACCAAACTATAACTTATTAAACCAGTGGAGGATCCAGAAAAAAAAATGTTGAATAAAATATATATTACATATACTTTTTAATCCCAATTTCCCCCCGTGGATACGCGCAGGTCGTAAAAAGTCTATGATGCATACAAATTTATTAAATGCTTCGTATCGCAATAAAATTGGGAATGTTAACTCAAAATTAAACCAACAACATGCAGGAAATTCCAATTTGTATCAGCGAACCCACATAACCAGGAATTCCCAAGGCCTTATCTGCGGAGCTGCTCCCCCAAATATTAAACCGCCGATCACTGATCAACCGCCATCAAATGCCATCGATGCAAATATCAATCCACCATTTGGGATCGGAGACGCGCCCATAAACCGTCATCACACATCAATGGCATTAGTTGGCCAACCGTCAGTAAAAGGAAATGTGTGTTCAAAGAACTCGCACCACTCAAATCAAATCCAACTCAACGCTACTCGCAGATGTCAAAAAGTATCAAATGTGCACAGAGTTTCTTTGTTATTGTGGCTGCTCTTGTGGTTGCATATATTAAAGTGCAAACATAAAAGAATAATGCAGAAATGCGCTTTTTGGTGTTGCCCAAACACCGCCGAAGTTGCATTGTCTCCCTTGGTTTTTACATTTTTCCTTGGGCTTATCGCACTGTCATTGAGAGGCTGCTACTGCCACAGAATAAAATACTAGACAAACATAAAAAGATAATAATAATAAAGAAACTTTAGTTTATGCACTCAGTTTTTGAATGGAGCAATTTTTAAGGTTCCAAAAGAAGAACCGCAGCACAGGAAACCAAGTATGGTGGGCCTACCAACGTTCACTTTATTATCAGTAGTTTTGCTGGTAAAAATGTGGATTAGAAAGGGGATAGAAACAATATCTTGTTTTTTCTTTTTTACCTATATAAACAAAAAGGATCAGTATTTGTTTGAATAAACATTGAAAGAGAGTAAACTTGTTAATTGAATGAATCCTACATTTCCATGATGCACTTTCATTAAAGACTGTTTAATGATAAGTTTTTGGGTATGCATTAGCTACTATAAAATAGCCTTCACATGTAATTGATAACGAATTATCGAACTAACTTTCAAGATAAAACTGATAGATAATTTCCTATCTCAAATGGCCACAGACATCAGCACCCACTTCCCTCCAACAGGGGACCAGGTAAACCTGATACTTGTGTGATTTGTTTTACCCAATCGCATGCAATGTGATAGGAGACGAAGAGCAGCGAAAGTTGTTCAATAATAATTGGCTTAATTAAGAGTCAAATCTACATAGAAACTCGAAATTAAATTCGAAATGAGCGAAAATGCCAAACGAAATCCAAAAGCCATTTCCACATTATATAAAAACGCGAAAAATGAAGTTTTCGAATGCCATCGCATGGTTATATGCGAGGGGCCAAGTTTTCGCAGTTCGTTTTTCCACCTTCTTTTTCGTTGGTAATGTCTTCATTCGTGTTACACATGAAATTTTCATGATAAAACCGAAGAGAGTTGGCCATGAAACCAGCCGAAATCTCATTCAAGTTAATCTCGATTCGAGACTGTTTCAAAAGCCAGCGAGACCGAAATAAAAGAAATAAAGTCGGTGCGCTTTAAATTGGCTTAGTTTTCCTTATTTGTTCACCAAAAGCATTTAACCAATTTGCTTTGCACCGAAGACAAATATTACGTCAATATTTTGTGCTTAATTTTCGGGTTTCTTTGTTTGGTCTAAATTTGATTGTTTATTATTCGATGATTAAAGTCAAATAAATCAAGGCAGGGAAGGCGATAAATAAACGGAATATAAGTGGTGTTTAAGCTTCAAAGATTTATTTGTTCGAAAGGTGTGCAGACTGGTATCTTCAGTCTGCCATTAATTGGATTGATAAAATTGAATTTATTTGTCTAATGGCATTGAGATAAAATTTCCTCATCAACAAGTAATCAATCCTATGAGTGTTCTGAAGAATCAAATGTATTTTCTGCAATTAACCCAAAATGCACAGCTTTGTCAACTTTTAGTTTGGTTTTCCCAATAATATTTCGCAATATATAAACACTAAAGCGGTTTAATTGAGCCTACCCAAGTACAAAACGTATGACCAACGAACGGGGCCCAAACCCAAAGAAAATGTGTAGCAGCTGCCATTGTGGTGTTGTTGCCGGGGCTGCTGCCGTTTATTGTCAAAGCGGTTAAGCGACATGCCACCAAAAATGATTGACAATCACTTTACAAACAGTTTTCAACAAAAACAACGCACACTGAGAAAAACAAGGCCCACGCTCGGGCAGCACTTCCCCGTTTTAGCAGTCAGCAACCAGTTGCATATGAAAGTAAAAGTAAAGCAAATCCACATGCACATGCAGCGTGTAATATATACACGAAATGCATTTAAATGCAGACTCGTTCGGCCCGAAGGAGAGACATATAAAAGCGGCTATATGTTTTATATACACAAAGCAAACAAAAGGCAAGCCGGTGCGAAGACAGCCACACCGGTTGTGAATGCAGACACTGCTCAGACAACTATACCCATATAATGTACCCAAAGCCTGCATATAAACATATATCCATATACATATGTGGCCGCTAATGAAATGCGTTCAAAAAGGCCGCTGCGCCTGCCGAACCGATACCCAGATGCTGATAAACAACCAGAAAACAAAACCCAAGCTCAAGCTCAAAAATAACCGAAACTTCATTTCGAAGACATGACATCATATGTGCTGCATAATCTTCTCTGGCGGGATTTAAATTGGCTTAACAGAATTTCTTTGAATATTCGACTCGTGACTCAAAAGGTTGCCCTGGGAATTCTTAGCGACACTGAATTTATTTATTGGCCTTCGGCTCGCTTCAGAAGCTTTATGGAAAAATTACGTCTTTTGCTTGAAAAACATAAATTGAAATTAGGGATAAAATAAGTAGCTTTACTGTGTCATTCTTATTTTATTACAATAAGGATTTATAGTTTTTCGGGGATGTTATCAATTGGTTTTTTATTATTTTTTAAGGATGGAAAAAAGGTAGTTTAGGTTATGAAAATAGAATAAATAATAAAATATTCTCCTTTGACATAAATAATTATTAAAAAATATATAATGGAAGCATAGGCAGTATAATTACCCACTATAAAGTAAACCTGTTCATTTTTAAGTTGTCATATTTTATTTAACAAGGTCTAAATTATTAATAGCCAGTTATTTTAGATACTATCAGTCAGTCAACTATTTATGATCCAGAATGTACACCTTTTTTGTAGCGCATAAATCAAATTTTATGATAGGAATTCCAACCTTAAAATGTGTACATTTTGAAGATAAATAAACTTAGAACGGAGTCGTTGACAGACGGCTAGTCAATCAGCCCCACCTGACCATGACTTCAGGGTGCAGATCTTCTCACGATCATTTGACTTAGGCAATCACTGTTTTTCGGCGTAGCAAAAGCCATTAAATTGATGCATGTATAACATGGCACCAGGCTCAATAATAATTATAATAAATTTCTGCCTTTGGCAAATGGCTTGTGAAAGTTTTTCACACAGGAAGCCGGCCGCGATTTATGCAACAGTTTATTGGTTATTGTTGTTTTTGGCACTCTCTCATGCAAATTGAATGGGGCTCAAGGCTGTTGTGACGAAGTCGTAGACTGCATACAAAACACGAAAATGTGATTCACATTTCGGTTCATGTGATACGGTTGCTAAAAAGCTGTTGATCGACCTTCATAAGGCAAAAACGTCACCAAAAACGTGTGTTCGAGAAAACCCTAATTGACATTTTATCAATTTGAAGACGACGCCGGATCTATATGAACTATTTCGAATTTGTCTGGCGTCGAAAATTACGTGTACTATTTCGAATGCCTTGAATGACTCACTAGCTGGGCGTTTTTCAAGCGTCAGACGCAACGCCATTAGTTTTGATCAATTTGTCCGACCTCAGACACTGAATTTAACGCTTAATTGTTTACAAAACGGCAGGGCT